CACAAGTAACCAGGACGAAGACAGTGATGGTGCGTTTGCAAATGTTATTGTAGAACTGGGTGATTCTGTTTTCAAATCCGATGACAATTTGGAGCCCAAATTGAGTGGCATGTGGCATGAAGTTGTGGCATGACCTTGTCCTGCTACCCTTTTTGCCTGCTTATACCTGTTATTTTGGGCCTAGAAGGCCCAGTTTTTTCTAGCCAAGCATTTTTTTGCACAAGGCCCTAAGTACAGCAATTGCTAGTTCACAGAGAGAACAAACAATGCAGAGAATCCAGTCAACACTTTGAGATCAAGGGTAAGTATGTAATACTCACAGTTACGTTTTATCGATAATTATGTTTTCGATATTTCAAAAAATATTTACGATTTCTGAATACTATAAAATATCATTTATTAGATTCATGAAATTTCATTTTTCAAACTTGTTACCAATTTCAGGTTGTGTCTTCCAGTTGGGTTGATTGCTGCATCACGGGAGTTCCCGTAAGGATGTTTACAGGGCCATGTCCGTTCAGCTTGTGGTTAGTATTACTCATATATTCGCATATGCAGTTGATACCATATGTCTCATCACACATTCATTTGCACTAGTCTTAGAATCACCCTTAGTTCGTCACTACCAATGAATGCTAGCAGGATTCACTGAATCACATAACCACAGTGATGATGCAGACTTCCCTCCTGTCGTAAGCTGGCACTGCCACTATAAGATATAATGAGAAACTTGATTACAAATTGTAATCATCTATCTAAAACAGTTATGGACTACTACTGATTCATTTCCTTCTCAGTATGGTGGAAAACTGACAGAGCCAGGTACTACAGCTGTTTACCCTGTAGAGATCAGATGTGCAGTGAGAACGTTTTGCAGATGATGGCGCGAGGGCTTACGCTGTTCAGTACGAGGGCAACGTCGAACCTAATCCTCCTTCTAAATCTCTGTGATCGTGTCCATGTCAACAAGAAGACAAAGTCATCAATATCCCCCGCAACGGCAAAAACTCTTTATGAATATGTCTACTAGTTATTATTATATCAAATGTTTAGGAGTGTATATATTGGAAAGAGAGTATTGAAAGGTTTTAAGATCTCTTCCAGAAAGAGCACTACCATCAGTTGAAGCCAAGCTTGTTGCCATGGAAATGTAACAAGATGACATCCTCATAGTCACAGCCTAAGTCACGTTTCCACAGAAACCACAAAAAGTAAATTTGCATCTGCGTCTAACCATCGAATCCATGGATCATGCTTGATATGTGTACCAAGTTTGATGAAGCTAGCATGTATAATTTAGGAGATCTGCTCCAGACTAGATGACATCCTCATAGCCACAACCTAAGTCACGCAATAATTCATATCTGGGTCTAAACTCCAAAAGGCACATCTGGGGACCATGCTTGATGTGTGTACCAAGTTTGATGAAGTTAGCATGTATAGATTAGGAGATATGGATCGGACAAAGTGTGACGGACACACGGACGGACAGACAGAACTCGTTTCTATATCCCCCGCAACTTCGTTGTTGCGGGGATAATAAGATTTATATTACATGAGGGCAGCAATTATTCATTATTTGAATTGCAGCCTAAGAGTAGAGATATTTCTACTATCACATAGTCATTCCATTCTCAGCATTCATATTCGTGTACTCTTTCTTCAGGGTGTCCATGATGGGTTGTATGTTGCCTAACATCAAAATTCACTATTGTTCTGCATGCACAATATGTTAATTACTATAGAAACTCTGAAGCCATATCATGGTTTCTTTCATGTTTTTTAACCTCAAGCTTTACGAAAATAGAACCATTTTGGTACCTTTGTTTGGTGTAAGTGAGATAGCACCACTTAGTGTTCTTTTCACAAACAAATCATTATTACATATCTATCCTATTCATCTGAGAGACAACGGGTGGAACTTTTGGTAAGTACAACAAATTTGAAAATGCATCAATAACTAAATTTTGGGTGGAAGGTAAAACAAATGTACTTGTAGGTAACAAATATCACATAATTCCTTGTATTTCATAAATGTTTATATATGTCAAACTAAATCGTAGCTGGTTTATTAAAACATCGAACAGTTTGAAAACTGTTTTCTAAATGCATAGGACATGTGAATAAAGATTGTTTACAACCAGTTTAAGGCTTTCTCTTTGTTTTGTCTCAGTGTATGTCGGAAAATAGCAATGTCATTTTAACTGATGGAAATATATTTCTCATCAAAAGTTTAGACTTACTAAAAACACTCACGATATGCTATGTGTGTGTATATATATATATATGGTCACATCGAAGATTGATTTCTCCACTAACTTGGGGGAACCAACTGCAAACCTTATGCAGATGAACTGCGCGAGGAACATGCATCAAATTGCTGAAAAGCATGTGCAAAAATCGTACATGTGAACAGCTGCGTTTTGGTGTAAAGTTTTGTTTAGAATTCGCCAATTTTCACCGATTGTTATCATTTATTGAGCTCATGACAATAATCTTTTCAACGTTACGAATTTGTTTTACAATACATCAGTTCATGTGTAATCAGTACCTTTAAACAGTATGGAATATTTTGCAAAATTTAGTTTAAAACAGTCGCCTGAAGTTAGTAACTATATTTACACTAGTGAGTCTAAATTGTTGATGAGAAGTAAAGAAATTGAACTAAAATCATTACATCTGAAATTTTATTTACCAAATGTTTCAACTGACATTTGTATTCAAAGAAAGCACATCACAAATGTTCAAAACGCTTGAACTATTACCATATACCCTATAAAATTATGTACAGATAAACATGTCACTTAAACAATCAATACATGATACGTCTTACTGAACCATAACTCTGCTTTAATTACCCAAATTTTGCAATGACAATTGCTATTAGATAGACATTTACAGAAAGTTTTAACTACAGAAACGAGTTACCTACGAATAAGACATACCTTTGACAAATCTGATTACTAAACCCATGCATCTTGCTTCTACTACAGTCTCAATTCTCCTACGTTCGCAAGTGCATCGGTGACAACTCTGAACAAGACATACAACTTCAAACATACTGAACCGCCACCGTGGTGTAGTGGTTAGAGCGTCCGCCCGGAGAGCGGAAGGTCGCGGGTTCGATCCCCGACAGCGTCATACCAAAAGACGTTAAAATATGGTACTTGTTGGTCCCTGCCTGGCGCTCGGCATTACTGGGTACAACAAGGACTGGTCGGCTCGGAATCAGTATACTGTGTCTGAGTGGGATATTCATGCTTCACTGCGGCATGGTATCTCAGTGGGCTAGCACTATAAAACCAGCTTCAGTCTGGGCTAGTACAAGCAGCCGCACATACACATACACACGCATGCACGTCGTCATATTAGCGAAATATTCTCAAGCACGACGATTAACCCAATTTCACCTCATCTCACCTCACCTCACCTCACCTCACCTCACCTCAAACATACTGACTGATGTTACCTACCAATTCGGAATGTTACCAACGAATACACATGCATCTACCGTTTATCCCGTGATATCATGCAAACTTTTACTTTTATCACCGAGATCAACTTGTTTTCTGACATTTCAATATAACGAATTCATTATATATCACTATAATAAAGTCTAAACCACGAAATGCAGTGCAACCCTGAATAGAACATTTTTATTGAACGCTCAGTTATTTGGAATTCCAAGGAACCATTTCAGTCTATTAATAGGCTGTACTGCGTACCTAATCAGTTTTATGATCTGCAATAATTGTCTTCAGTATAAATTAGGTTATAGCAGCGTATTGTGTTCTCTATTTCATTTTGTTAACAACGAATACATGTTATCTACAAATGCCGTGAGCCACAACCGGGAAAATCCAAGCGGGACACCATGTCTTACCAATTTGAGGCCTTTTTTACAATAATAAGACTTGAAATCTCACTAAACTTAAAGTTGGTTAGTTGTAACAGGTGTCATATGCATCCTATGTTATTGTGACATTGGTTTATTTATATTATAACCTTCTTGCAGAAAATGTAAAATACACTTACTAATCACCAATATGTTGTCTGGTCTCATCTATGATGACTTCCAAATGGAATACATGTCACGTTCCACCAATCTAAACTCTGTCAAAAAGAAACGCAACCCCTGTATTTTAGAGATTTTGATCTGAAGTTTTAAGACGACACAGCATTTTATTATTTAAGACAGAAGTCTGAAATTTGGCAGAATAATAACCAAGATGGGCATGTTTAAAATTGTCATTTCAAAAGTCATCTCACAGACACCAGTTTGTCACCAGGGGGCGTCTTTCTCAGTATCTCGTATGAGCACCACGAGCTGCAATCACTGCACGGCATCTCCTTGGACAAGAACGGATAAGACGCCGGATTCTTTCCTGGGGAATGGCTCTCCACTCCTCCTGCAGTGCAACGCCGAGCTGTTGCAGCGTCTGTGGCGGCGGCTGACGTTGACGTACGCGTCGACCCAGAGTATCCACAGGTGTTCAATAGGGTTGAGGTCTGGTGATTTAGAGGGCTATGGCAAGACATTGACGTTGGAATTCTGCAGAAAGTTCATTGTTGCACGTGCAGTATGAGGCCGGGCGTTGTCTGGTTGAAACATCTGTGTCTGTTGGTCAATAATCGGGAGAAGGTGAGGCTGTAATACGTGGTTGATGTAACGTTGGGCTGTCAGGTTCCCTTCAACGATCACCAAGTCTGATTTCTGGTTGTATGAGATGGATCCCCAAACCATAACGCTTTCTCCGCCAAATCTGTCCCCTGTCGGACGCAGATGGGCGCAAAACGTTCATGACGTCTCCTATACACACGTTTTCTTCCGTCGTGATGTTGCAAAGAAACGGGATTCATCAGAAAACCAGATGCGCCTCCAGTTTTGTAAAGTCCATATCCTTACGTTGTTGCACCACCTGGAGTCGTCGGCGGAGATGTAGGGGGCGTAGTACAGGTCCAACAACTGGTCTACAGGCACGTAAACCCGCTTCTTTCAGACGGTTCCTAATCGTTTGAGCTGACACTCTCCTCAAACCTGGTATTTGTGTGGCAGTCACGGTTGGTAGGGCATGCCGATTACGCAGGTGATGGACCCGGATGTACCGATCTTGAAGGGGTCGTGATTCTTGGCCTTCCACTTCTCGGGCGATCGTTGGTCAAATTGAAGTTGTTGTAGCGGCTCCAAAGTCGGGATATCGTTGTTTTGTGAACATTTAGGTGCCGTGCAACAGTTCCAAAACTTTCTCCAGCTTGAACACGACCAATGGCGATATTTCGGTCGGCAGCACTCAATCGTGGCATTTTTCACACAGCTTTTCATGCGACAAATGAATGAATATAATACGAAAGCACATGGGCTTTTATACACCCCTACATTAACTGCCATTTTCATGATTTGCATGTGTTTTTGTGCGAAGTCACCATGAGGGTCATTTCATGCGTTGTGACGGAATAAGCAATAAAATACACTTATGCGTACAAATGCAGTTGTTTGGATGGTAATCTTCATTAATTACGTGTATAATTTCAATACATTCAGAATAACATTTAGTTTGGAAGCAATAACTTCATTCAAACGAATTTTTCATATCTGAGGACAGGGGTTGCGTTTCTTTTTGACAGAGTTTCACCAATCTATTTGAATGTGATCAGTTGTTGCCGATCTCAGTACTTGTAGGTAACATTTGGGAGTTAAAATTTACTTACGAATACAGGTAATAATCCACCACCCAAGCCCAGGTGACTGATACAAACGTTTTTACCGCTCAATACTGATTAGTACGCATGCGGGTCTCTGTTATGTAACACCAAAGTCAGAAAAATGGTTCATGGAATCTCTATCAGACTTGACCTTACAGTTCACGCCTCTGCCACTACTGCAGCTACAGCCTCGAGTTCCAATCTCCTTGTATAGTTGTTTGGTTTATTGTTTATTTGAACATTACTCTCAGCAATAGACCAGCTATATGGCAGCGGCCTGTAAACAGTCCAGGCTGGACCAGACAATCCAGTGATCAACATCATGAGCATCGAGCTACACAATTGGGATACGATGCCATGTGTCACCCGAGTCAGCGAGCCTCACCACCCAATCCCGTTAGTCGCCTCTTACGACAAGCATGGTTTGCTGAAGACCAATTCTAACCCGGATCTTCACGGGTGTACTTGTATAGTGTCGTATCTAAACCACTTTTGAAATTCAAGTAATTCTACAGAGGATGTATATACAGCCTCATAACACTACATACAAAATCTTTGAAAACATCAATGCAGGTAAACAATAATATACGTTGATCATGTAAACAAGAACGTAGGACACTTTAAGGATAACACATTCTTTATTATATATACTATCCCCCAAAAAAGGTAGAGGATATCGGACTTTGATGGCTGATAAGAGGCATCGTGTGAAAACAAAAACGGAACAAATAATGAAAAAAACACCTGCTATGGGACCATATGGAATTTTACTCCATGCATTTGATAATACTAATGAAACAAGAACAAACTGTGGTATAGGTCAAACTACACCAAGGGCACGTCAATCTGCAAATTTACCATACGGTAAAAACCAAGTCAATAACGGGTAAATCCCCATCTGTTGGCCAAACAGGCACGGATTCGATGTGGCATACTCCTTATGAGGCTTCGCAAGTCAATTTGATTGAGATTATTCCACGCGACAAGATCTTGGATAGAAGTGGGTCGTTGTTGACGTCGCCGTAAGCGCTGTCCAAGCATGTCCCAGACATACTCGATGGGCGAAAGGTCTGGACTAAAGGCTGGCCATGGTAATCTGCATTCAGTGACAACCCTAGCCCTGTAACAACTGGCATTGTCATCTTGGAAGATGAAACGGCGGCCATGGCGTCGAGCAAATGGGACAAGGTGGGCTGCCAGGATGTTGTCCCGGTAGTACTGACCTGTGACACGCCCAGCAACAACATGTAAGCCCATTCTTCCAGCCGCAGTGATGCCACCCCACACCATTACAGACCCCCCTTCCAAAATGATCATGCCTAATGACGTTGACATCGTGGAAACGTTTGTTACGTCTACGCCAAACCCTGTTATGTCTATCAACGAAGTCTAACACGAACCTGGACTCATCAGAAAACATTACATTGTTCCAACCTCAATAGTCCCAGCGTTGGCGTTGCAAACACCAAAGACGTCTTGTCCTAATGTGACCATCTCTCAAACAGGGGGGTGACACGAGGACTCTGTGATCACTGTGCAGTCGATTTCTGATGGTCTGGTCACTCGTTCTAACACCAGCACCTGCTTGTAGTCGATCTCTAATCTGATTGGCTGTTATGAGACTATTTCTTAAGGCTGTAGTATGGATAAAGCTGTCCTCAGCCGCAGTTGTCACCCTTGGTCTGCCAGAGAGTTGTCTGTCGTTGACAGATCGTGTGTCACGGTATCTGGACCATAATCTACTGATGACGGACTGTGAAACGTTTAAACTTAGTGCCACAAGGGTCTGTGTTGTACCGATCTGTAGCATGCCATGGGCACCTAACCGTTCATCTCGAGAAAGTCTGGACATGTCTCAAAGTTGTTAACAGTTCTAAAACAACCAAATTAATGTTTGCACATTCCAACTCCCTCTGCTAATTACGAGAAACGTCACATCCAACATCGTGCAAATGTCAGGTTTCAACCCCCATAATCGTCACAGTTAACGTGTGCATGTTGTGGGCATGTCAGTGCTGTGTTTGGGCGATATTTTTCCACGGAAAATGATTACTCTCAAAGGATGAATAATACCTTCCTTGATGATCATTTGTATTTACTAGAACAATACCTGTGAAATAGAATATCTCCTACTTGTTTTGGATAGTATATGATGTTAGGTTTCGGTATAGATTCTAAAACTGCTGTCAAGCAATCTTGAGTGACGTACTTCAGCACATAACAGACTTAAATACATCAACAGGGATTAAGTGAAACAACATGTATCAGTTCATATGCAGATGGGATGACATATTCTTGATCTCTGTTTATTGAGGGTTTGTATCTGTGGATTTAAACTGCTTCTGCAAGTTTTCTTTTGGTGAAGCCTTGGATTTTTCGATAATATGTCCACATTGTCCCAAATTATGTTGTGATTAGGACAGTTGATGCTGTAGTCTGATATTACTGATTTTCGGCGTCATTTTGTGGTAGATAAGTGTTCTTGTAAACAGCAACAGAAAGATATAGCCAAAAAGACACAAATTCAGTTCTTTCTGTTTGATCGAAAGGTGTGTCTCTTCGTCTCAAGAAGAAGACTTGCTTTGACAAAAGTGCAACTCTTCGTTTATACTTGTATGAAATTGGGGTGTGATAACCCTCTTTGGGGAACGTATTCCCTCTAGAGTCATGATATGTATATACCGAATAGTCTATGCCTAATGAGGTTATTACAAGGTCACACACCTGTGTCATTAGGTCATACGTTCCAGAACTTCCTTCATCAGTGTCATGAGGGTCAGTGACCTCCGAAATGAGGTCATGCTTCTCGGCGACCCCTTACTTCTGCACAATGAAGTCAAACAGATGTGAACAATAGACCAGAATCATAAAAAGAAAAACAAAGTGGCAGTCTTTTTCTGCACAATATTTCTGTCGATAATATTATGGTCACTCGAAATGTAATAAGTGTTTTTCATCAAAAGTGATTGATTTAGTAAATAAAATTCATCATTTCGATGTGACTACTGCCTGGCCGGGTAAAAGCCTCAGGTGTCTAGGGACTCGTGACGTCTTAGCCTGCAGTATTCACTGGGTTAATGCAATCACTGGCTTATTACTCTTTAATGAAAATAAACACTATCTCAATTCTCTTCGGAGAAGTATGCATCTATTTATACTGTTATGGATTTGTTTTGTTAGCTTTTCATGGACGGTCGCAGTTTTGGTGATGACAGCATACATGACCTACAACATCACAAAGGAGATGATACTACAGATACCCAGTGATAACTAACACGAAGGTGGAAGTCCTCGAGGAGCTGCCTTTTCCTGCCGTCACCTTCTGCAATCTGAGTCCGGTTAATCTAACCAAGATTAAAGCAGTCGATCCTTATCTGGAGGAGTATTTCACAAAGACCAGCATGTTAGGACCATTGACAGGGGGATCTAAACTGGACTGACCTTGGCTACGGGTCTACATTTCGGAAGAGTCACAAACACGACTGGTGGGAAAATATTTACATGACTCCAAAACATATGTTTTATAGTTGTTCGATGAATGGTGTTGGATACCCATGTATCGCTGCAATGAAACCACGTTTCACTCATATGGGTCATTGTGCCACCTTCAACTGGAATGCTTCTGATGTTGCTAAAGTTCGACTTACTGGATCAGACTACAGTCTCATCATGAATGCCAATATTGACCAGGCTAACTATGTTCTTGGGGCCGAATTGGCTGCTGGGATGAAGGTATGCAAAACAACGTAATACATGGTAAACTGTATTGCAAGTATAGAAATAGGAAGACGATTTACAAAATACACCTGTGAACCGCATGCTTACATTTACGTCCTCCTTTCTTAATTGTAACATTTGCAGCAACACTCGGTGTACCTGCCATTGTGTTATTGTGGACAATCGTTACTGTGGTTTGTGTGTATGTTTTAGTCACCATAGGGCTGAAATTTTGCCGAATTGAAATCTTAACTCACTCACTCACTACTGTGGTTTGTGCAGTTAAGCACATAAATGCATCAACTGTAAATTGAACATGTGGTGTATAGATGATGCTTTATGTGTTCACCAGAACAAACACGATAGACATATTTACTGAGGGAAGTAATTGCTCATTTTCAGTCTGAACACAATTCATTTAGTTCCAGTGACATTTCATGGTGAAGTGACATACATATATTAATTATGTCACTGACTAAATAAATTGCTGTTCCACCCACTGCAGGTAATTGTACACGACCCTCGTGTACACCCAGATCTTGCGACATCGTCCTTCCTGGCAGCTCCAGGAACATCAACATACGCTTCTGTTCGCAGATCAACGGTAAGTCACTTACATGCACACTTACACGGTCTCTGCTACAGCTCGCTGTCATCAACTTTCAACTTTTGTTAGCATGCATGTGCCAGGTACCATTTTGCATTTTCCATACCAATAATGAAAAGTTCCTGTGGCAGGTAGTCGTTTCATATTTTTCATCTCCGTTCGTTTCATGTCTATTTCTGCTGTAAGTAGGATTAATATTGCTGAAATATGGTTGCTTATACTTTTGTTTACACGGTTCTAACCTTACAACGCAAAGATTGCAATACCTCAAATGTTAAGTATAATCACGGTGGTTGAACCCTTGTGCGCATTGCAATAAGAATTCAAAACATACTGAACAACGCTTTGAATTAGATATATTTATATATTTTTTACGTCCTTACAGTTGATATCATTACTGGTTTCAATCTCAGTTGCACTGAAATCCATGTATCGAACTACATGTACATGTATCACAGAAAGATCATCTGTAAGCCATGAAAACTACTTACATCAGTATTGTGTAAATAACACAATTGTTTAACAAAAATAAGATGCGTGTTATTTATGAAGTTATTTATATCAGTACGAGTACCTGCCACCACCTTATCAGGCCTTCAAGAGCCGGACATGCGTGGATACTTTGTCACCCTCATTTCACAACACGCTGCAATTTTTCGACACCTACACATATGAAAATTGTCTCCAGGAATGCATCACAACGTTAAGTCACGACCGTTGTGGTTGCATTCAGCCAGCAGATAACGGTAAGATGTTGCATCACGTGACAATTAGTGAAACAAAATGGCTAATTATTAAGCTATTGTTTATAGAATCCTTTCTGTATACAAGCGCTGAGTGAGTTGTCAATACGTACACTCAGCTGACCAAACCTCAACTGCGTGTAAATTGTAATACTGTAGTTGTGTTTTCCTAGCCATGAAATCAACTGGGAAATGTAATTTCTATTAGAAGTTATAATCAGACAGATTTCTCTCATGAAAACCTAAATAATGTTAACATTCTTGTAGCTCGTCCCGTCTGTGTGGTCACGTTCGGACTGCTGGCCATTCCGATTTATCCAGCAATGCTTGAACGACCAGACTGGATTGAACGAATTCTGCATTTGTAAAGACTCTTTAATCTGAAGTGATATTGAAGTGATCATGTGTTCGCTGAACCGTCCTGCCATAATTGTTTCCCATTCGTATGAAATGCGTCATTATGTCACACAAGTATGGGACCAAACTGTAAAGACATTATTTTGTTTAAAAAATCTCATTTCTTTATCAAAACAGCCATTTTCTAACTATTATGCTTTATATTTTCAGCAAGTATTGGACACATTTGTTCCCTCTACCACTTCACAACCTGCTACGTTCCAACATATAGTGAGTTCAGTCTGCTGCTATGTTAATTTATGAATACGTGTTTTGCTTCTTTGTTTTTTCGACGCAAGAAAATTCAAATGTTTTCTTGGTATATCACTGCTCCAAAAAACAGAAAAGTTATACACGCAGTCAGGTCTAACATTGTTTCCAACCGGCCTGCTTGGTACTGAGCACAAAATCCGCATTTGAACTGAAACGAAAGTTATCAGATACATGTACATAAAAAAAAGTAACAAAGACCATTTTGGGTATTAAACTCTTTTCCATTCAAATGCTACTACATATTATTCAACTACTAATTACTCCCTTATAAATTATATACTTTCGTTTAGTATCTCTCAGGCAGAATGCGACGATTCAGAAATCTTGCGGTTGTCAAGTGCCAGATCATTCGTAGGTCACTTACGATGTCAAACTATCATCGAGATGCCCATCAAATGTGACAGTGGCGCTCATTCTGAAGCTTGGGCTTGCACCAGATGAGGCATTTATCAGGTATCTCTGCGTATCTTACTGCGATAACCTGTAACAGGAACTGTCATATTTCCCGAGTGAGTTCATGACGTCCTGAAGGAATTACCTGATAGTTTTCAAATGAAACCCATGCCCCTTCGGCTCACTCTTAAAATATCATCGTTATGTCGAAATAATTTGTCACTTTGATCCCCAAATCTTGCACTGTGTACATACATACGTGCATTGCATCGTAAAACCGTGTCAGGCATACAAATGCTAATTAATATGAATAACAGAATTGCACTATGGTGACTGTTCAGGAAACATAAACAAACATCGAGGGTACATCAACCCATGGGCACCGGTGGACCAGTGAACAACGTATTTATCTTACCGAACACCTTAATGTTAATTTTGAATTGTTTGAAGCACGGGTACAAATGATTTTTTAGCTATCGCTAGATTATGCTGACAAGATAAACAGATTTAGAGTTATCTCCCTTCCATCCATTTGCATTCGCAAAACGTCAGTAATTTCCGTACATCATACGTGATTCAATGTAATTCGAGATAAAGAATTACTACCACGAAGTACCAAATGAGTTGCCATTGACAGCGGGGTACATTGAAATGTTACTCGCATGTAAGCTGGGTACGTTGAAAATAATAGAAGAGCGCTCAGCCAATCAGAAAACGACATATATGTGTGAGGCAAGATAATACAGAGTGCATGTTTTCAGGGACAACTTTCTCGAAATACGGATGTTCTATGGCAACCTCAATCGTTCAATCAACGTCACAAACTCCACAGTACACAACTGAGACCATAATAGGTGAGTGACAGATTCATATTTAGAGCCTTCAATAAACCTTATGAAGTTTTGACTGTCGTCATCGTCACAGAAAGTGCAACGTTTGTCATGACAAAGCAGATTTCAGATTGGCTGTACAGATTCACATAGATATAAGTCGGCATGTGGATAATATGTTCCTACGTGGACGATGTGTACATCTATCCTTTCCGGAGGCCATCCAACAAATTTGTTATCTTCACAAAACACACCACAAAGGACTACTCCTAACGGGTATGTATATTTTTTGTTGCCAGGTAACCTGGGAGGTCAGATGGGCATCTGTCTGGGAGCCAGTATCCTGACACTCACAGAATTCGGAGAGTTCCCCCTCTTTCTCATTCTTACAATCTTCAGGAGGTAAAAATATGGCGACGAAGGCAAGCATGTCAAACCTATTGAAGACTGAAGTAAACGGTTGTCTATAGCTGATGAAGCACAATTATAAGTAGTTAAAATTAGCATAGGACAATTTTGATTGTTTCCAGTACTTTAAGTGGGTCAATATATATTTTGAATATTTGATGGGTCTGTTATGAATTCATTATGTTCTTGCTAATTTGCCTGAAAATGTATTCTGTGCCACAGCCATTCCTCAGCCACTTTTGCAGCTGCATTCTCAGGATTCAGTCTCCCTACATGGAGTCGTATCATGCGTGAATAAACTTTGTTGAATTCAAGTAACTCTACAGAGGACATATATATATGCAGCTTCACAACAATTTCTTAGCATCTGTAAATGCAACAATTTTCGCTGATGCTGTTGGTCTTGTTATCAGCAACATAATGATAAAACAACTTCAGTCCTGTTTTGTTTGTTTGAAAAGTGTCCTAAAAAAGAAGCCATACTTTGTCAAAAGTGCACCTCTTCGTTGGGTATGATGTGAGACATGTATGTGACATCCTTTGTAGATGAACATTTTGAATGTAGAGTCATGTTATTCATATCTGATATACATTAATTTCCTGCCCCTATTCACAATTCCTCTTGCAAGACCTGAATACACATCAATATGGTGAACCGTCATTCATGTCAATTCATTCCCCTTAATCCAACCTGTTAATAGTAGTTACACACACTTAATTACCATATCTGTTTAGACAAGCATCAGAATGAATTTAGTGAACTGTATTTGCAATCGATCTTAGTTGACATTTAGCTATTAGGAGATAGGTTATTCTGGTTCGCTTGTAGAGCCATATATACGATGAAGATAGAATATTCTGGTTCGCTTGTAGAGCCATATATACGATGAAGATAGAGTGTTCCTACATGATATATAAATCCTACATGATATTATATATATATATATATATATATATGTCCACATCATATAATGTGGCAAAGATGCATTAATGATGTTCTACAATGCGATCTCTTTAAAGTGAAATACGTACGTTAACACCTTTTACTGTTGCGACAACAACGATCAATAACGTTCTCTCGTTGTGGTTATTGTTTAACTTGGCCAGGAAAGACTTTGATATCACGTACTCAAATTCCACTCAAATTCAAATCAGCATTTATAGGAAAATGAGTGAATCTGAAGTATTATCTGATTACTAGTATCACTCTAGATTTTGAACACATGTTCAAGAAGCAAAAAGGATAAGTCTAATATGTTGTTGTGTTATTAATAAAGGAATTGGTTAGTAATGACGTACCTCATGATGAAAGCTCTCACTAAGTAAGTGTCTAAACAGTCAGACATAAAATAATATGGTCCAGAAAGGGTGCGTACCAGATCGATGGGACATAATGTATCCTCACGAAACCAAATATCGTTTGTCCTGCAACTTCATTGAATGATTCGGTGCCCCACGTTGATTCCTCTGTGTACACCCAGTAGTGTCCAAATGAAAGTAGTGTCCAAATGAAAGTAGTGTCCAAATGACGTTTACGCTGACGAATAAAATGATGCAAGCACCATAAGATCAGAAATGTCGTTGTAAGAACATTTGCGGATAAGTATGCGTGATTTAGTCGGAAGTGTATTACGGCAAGGACTGCAAGGATAATATTCTCACGTTTGTCTCAAGGTTGGTCTTGTCTACTTGCTGGATTTGATAACAATGGCGCTGAAGGTTCATGTAAATGACTTTGGGATGTTGTATTATTTACGCTTCGCTGAGTGCTCCCAGGAACTGTTCATCGCACCTACTATTATGTTTTTGAAATTATGTTACAATTATAACAAAACCCAGCATTTTATCACTTGTGCCGTCGGTTTCTGACTGTTGGCCCGTGTGAGAACCCAGTTAAATAAGTCAAACCGCAACCCGGCACTTGTTCTACACACAAAGGAAAACAGCCACATCGGTGAAATCTGAGGTTTCGTTCACACTAAGATGCTTCTGCTTTGAAAAGACGAGCTTAGTAATGTCTCCATGTGATAAAAAATTGGAACTCGGTGGGCACAGAAGCATTCTTTAAGACTCACATGGGGAAAGCTTTATAAGCAGTAGTCAGTTGTAGTTATAATATATCTATTAGACACATATCGATATAAATATCAATACCTGAGTGAGTGAGTTTTCTTTAACGCCACACTCAGCAATATTCCAACTATATGACGGCGGTTTGTAAATAATCCAGTCTGGATCAGACAAACCAGTGATCAACAGCATGAGCATCGATCCAGGCAGTTGGGATACGACCAAGTCAGTGAGCCTGATTACCCGATCCCGTTAGTCGCCTCTTACGTCAAGCATGGGTTACTGAAGATCAATTCTAACCCGGATCTTCACGGGTCTAATACTGCTAGAGAAGCCGTCTTGGCATATAGAGACAGTCTTAAATGTTAGCATCACACGTTATAATGACATAACAAAAGCGTCTTACATCTAGAAGTGGGAATATCTCCCTGTCGAACCACTCAATGCCCAGAGATTTAAGCGGCGGCTCCTCGTAGTACTCCAGACCCTCGAACTGCTGCAGGAGACTATCTTTAACCACCCCACGTGACGCAATCTCACCGTCCACATCGTACTCGCGTGTTTCGTTGAACTGTTTGGCCGGTTTATTCTAGACAATATTGCAAGGACACATGTCAAAGCCCTTCCTACCCTTCTGTCCAACATTGGCGATACCTCCAAGATTGATACACAAGTCAGTATGACTGAACAGAAACTTGTACCCTCAGGGTACGAGAGGTGCCCCTTGATCCCCGAGGGCCAGGTCCTTGGCTCGGAAGTTGCACACAAATGGACACAGTAGGTACGTGGAAGTTGTTTCGCCGTCCCCGAGCTGGAACGTGAAACTGCTGTCAGCCTGATGGAAAACTGTGTGACCGTGAGACGCTATATGGTGGCGGTCTGTAAATAATGAGGTCTGACCAAACAATCCAGTGATCAACAGCATGAGCATCGATCTACGCATATGGGATATGGTGACATGTGTCAGCGAGCGTCGTTAGTCACCTCTTACGACAAGCATGGATTGCTGAAGATGATTTCTAACCCGGATCTTCATGGTCATATGCGACAAAGACTTATGTTGGACATTCAATATATGTAAAATATAATCTGTGTGACTATCACTGTTTAGAGACAGGGCAAGTTTATGTGAAACAGTATAATGCATGCAGTATTTTTTGTCAGTCATGATGTGTCAGACAGATAACAGATAAGCTATGAGGTCCATATTGTTGTGTATCAACTAAATCAGACTAAATCAATACATTATGAACTGATTCCACACCTACCCAGAGTGAGTCCGT